TCAGTGCCTGATTATTATCGAGCCTTTGGTGTGAGAGTATTCTAGTGTAACTGATTTTGTTGTGATTGCCTGATCCTGACCCATTTTGCTTTTGGAGCTTTGAGCCCGCCTGTCCCTGTTCTGATCTGTTTGCCTGACCTACACTATATTGCCAAAAGTATTTGCTCACCCATCCAAATTATTGGAATCAGGTGTTCCAATCACTTCCATGGCCACAGGTGTATAAATTCAAGCACCTAGGCATGCAGACTGTTTTTACAAACATTTGTGAAAGAATGGGTCGCTCTCAGGAGCTCAGTGAATTCCAGCGTGGAACTGTGATAGGATGCCACCTGTGCAACAAATCCAGTCGTGAAATTTCCTCGCTCCTAAATATTCCACAGTCAACTGTCAGCTGTATTATAAGAAAATGGAAGTGTTTGGGAACGACAGCAACTCAGCCACGAAGAGGTAGGCCACGTAAACTGACGGAGCGGGGTCAGCGGATGCTGACGCGCATAGTGCGAAGAGGTCGCCAACTTTCTGCAGAGTCAATCACTACAGACCTCCAAACTTCATGTGGCCTTCAGATTAGCTCAAGAACAGTGCGCAGAGAGCTTCATGGAATGGGTTTCCATGGTCGAGCAGCTGCATCCAAGCCATACATCACCAAGTGCAATGCAAAGCGTCGGATGCGGAGGTGTAAAGCACGCCGCCACTGGACTCTAGAGCAGTGGAGACGCGTTCTCTGGAGTGACGAATCGCGCTTCTCCATCTGGCAATCTGATGGACGGGTCTGGGTTTGGCGGTTGCCAGGAGAACGGTACTTGTCTGACTGCATTGTGCCAAGTGTAAAGTTTGGTGGAGGGGGGATTATGGTGTGAGGTTGTTTTTCAGGAGCTGGGCTTGGCCCCTTAGTTCCAGTGAAAGGAACTCTGAATGCTTCAGCATACCAAGACATTTTGGACAATTCCATGCTCCCAACTTTGTGGGAACAGTTTGGAGCTGGCCCCTTCCTCTTCCAACATGACTGTGCACCAGTGCACAAAGCAAGGTCCATAAAGACATGGATGACAGAGTCTGGTGTGGATGAACTTGACTGGCCTGCACAGAGTCCTGACCTCAACCCGATAGAACACCTTTGGGATGAATTAGAGCGGAGACTGAGAGCCAGGCCTTCTCGTCCAACATCAGTGTGCGACCTCACAAATGCGCTTCTGGAAGAATGGTCAAAAATTCCCATAAACACACTCCTAAACCTTGTGGACAGCCTTCCCAGAAGAGTTGAAGCTGTTCTAGCTGCAAAGGGTGGACCGACGTCATATTGAACCCTATGGATTAGGAACGGGATGTCACTTAAGCTCATATGTGAGTCAAGGCAGGTGAGCAAATACTTTTGGCAATATAGTGTATCTTCTGACATCTGCTGGATTCTTCTTGTGGGCTAAATCTAGGTCTGCCTTCTGACTTCAACCTGGATTATCCTGCCTTCCTTCGTCTGCTCGGGTCTGATCTCCTGTCAGTTCTGCAGCCTTCTAGGCTTCAGTTTCTGGAACTCTCTGGCAGCGTCTGCAGTGTCTTGTCGACCAACAGGCTGGAATCATCCTTGTTCTCTGGGCATGGACTGCACTGCCAAACCTGGTTAGTGACTCACAGGTTCGTAATCGTCCTCCGTCAGATTATCGTGGTCACTAACCTGTGTTTCTCTCCTGTAGAGGTTCTTGCCTTAGATGCCCTAGTCGCTGATACACCAAATCTGCAGCCCGTCGTTTCAACACTTTTAAGTTATCCCACTGTCTGTCTTGCCCGAATACTGGGTCCCTCTGTTCTGAGTCACAGACAGGAGAAGTTTGAAAATGTGTATTAACAGTTATGAGTGATGATGAAGCAGGACCAGCTTTAAAATTATGATTCAGAAGACACAGTTTCCAAAGTAATGAAGGACACTGGTGAGCAAGGAAATGAGTAATGAAAATGTGAAAAGAGAAGGCTTTCTGATGAACATGATGATTTTTCTATAGAGAATTCAACCAGAGCTCTAGTGATTGTTCAGTGGATCCAAAGAACCCTGGTAAATGAAGGTAAGCAAGCAGGTGGAATGTAGTGATAGCCCTAGAAATGACCTCATTGTCTAGTCCAAATGTGGGTTTTTGTTGGAGAGTTATCAGTTCTGGTTTTGAGTTAAGTTTTGATATCGTGGATAGTAAAGTTTGTATAGAGTTTTGATAGTTTTAAGAAAGGTAGATAGGGAAGGGAAGAAAAGTTTGGAGATTGAGGAAAGTGAGGAGAGGATAGAGAATGTAGCCAGATAGGAAGAGAAGCAGAAATAGATTATCAAAAACTAATGAAAAACTTGTATTTCTAAATAAAAATAAATAAAATATCATATTTACAACCTCATTGCCCAAGTAGAAAAGAATATCCAGCGCTCTCTTCCAAATCCCACAAACATTTTCGTTGTCTGTCTCCAAAGGCCATGCCATTTTGTTAAAGTGACAGGGAAAGACACAGCCTACCATATATAAATGTACTTTTGTCAGAGCATTTATACACAGCTCATGTTTAAAAATATTTTATGATATGGTGAATAATGACCATCTCCGTGTGCCCTAAATTATAAGAATACATGCATATTATTGACTGTAATTATAAATTTGGCCACTAGGTGGATTGATGTGCAAATGTAAAACCCTTAATGAATGAAGCATAAAAAGGATTTTTAATGCCAACTGAACTTTTCCTTGAAATCATCTCTTGTTCCTTTAGGTAATCTTTGACAGACCTTATTTTATGTGGTTTGACTGCAAAATAAGACTTGATAATGATTTTATATCTTGTTTTTATTTTATCTTTGCATAGATGGATTTGTTTTATATATTGTTTATATTATTTTTCTATGTTCTCTTGTCTCTCTTCCGGAAAAGTTCTATCAAACCCAAAAACTGATTAGATAGATGAACTTCAACTTTGCTCAAGCTGTCAAATAAACCCTGACTTACTGATAAGGGAATGCAGGAAAAGAAAAAAAAAATCACAAACATTTTCTAGTTGTAAGAACCCTCATATTTGTTCTATCTTTCCTGCTCCTTGGATCCTAAGAGAGGTTGTGTTTGAAAAATATCAACCTAGTGTAAAAATGAATTCTATATATCGTGTTATGTGTGTTAAAATTCTCTTGTTTTCCTCCTTCAGATATAAGTTAATCTCCAAACCTTAGGGAATAGTATTTTTGTATGGCTTGATAAATGAGTTTAGAGTTATAGTAACTGGATCCCTTACTCCCAACCAATGCCAAGGCCTGCCTTTCAAAATAATAAGACCTTCTTTTCCATAAAGATCCTATGGAAGTGTGTTTGTATTTATTCAGATGCATTTGAAGAGTCTTAGCACTTATTTCATGGCTTTTCTCTCATTGCAACTACCAGTACAAAAGCACTTCCTGACCCCAGCTGACAGTATTTCCAGTTGCAAACTTTAAAACAACCCTGAGGGTCTGAGGAAGAGCTTCAAAAAGAGTTTTCTAAAAATTTGCTAATTTGGTTCATATTTTTTCCCATTGACAATACTACAGTAAATCAGAAAAAAATACCATCATATGTGGGGTTTCATAAAGTTATATTTTGGAAGCTGTTTTAACAATATACAGAACTTTTTTGTTTAGGATTTATTTATAGCATCACAAAAAACAGATCTTACTAAATGTGTGATAACTTTGATAACAGATAAATGAAAGTATTTTGAATTATGTATTCAGTTTGCTGTTAATAAATGCAGAAAAACAATATTAAACATTAAACAATATTAGTTGAGGTTATGTTGCACTAAGGTGTCACAACATGAACTGTTTGTAAAAGCAAGCATGGGTGTGAAATGGTGGAAAATTATGTATTTCAGTACAGATAAACACTGCTTTTTTTTCTGTTTTAAAAAGTATAAAAGTAGGGATCAGCATGTTGAGTCAGACTCAGTTAGGCCTAAAAAGTACCTCAATAACAATCTGAAAAAATACATGCCACATTTTTTTTATATATGTTTTACCTTGTGCTATTCTCCTTCCACAATATCAATACCTAGGAAAATATTCCATACTATATAAAGTAAGATACCATTTTCAATACCACTGGAACCAAAGAAATTAAAATGATTAAAGGGAAATTGGAAAAAGTCACCTTTTTCAATCTCACCATGTCAAATTATTGCACAACACGACCACAGATGCTAGTCAAATACATGTGAAAGTATGAAATTAACAAAAGTAATAATATGCAAACAACACCTGTTTTTGGTACTAATATCATTCCAGTATCGATATTTTTCTACAGCAACAAAATACATTGTATTTAGCTTTATTATAAAAGTACTATAATTTAACAGCTCAGCTTTTTTCTATAATGATAAGGCTAAATATAAATAGTAAAATCTCTTGGTGGTGCATCACCTTGGTTCATTGTCATCTGAAATGCCCCCCTAAAATTAAAGCAGCATTTTTATATTGAATTTAGACCTGCTAATTAACTGGAAAGACAGAATTATGAGATTAAAGTCAGAATTCTGAGATTAAAGTCAGAATTTTGAGATTAAAGACAGAATTCTGAGATTAAAGTCAGAATTTTGAGATTAAAGACAGAATTCTGAGATTAAATTCAGAATTCTGAGATTAAAGTCAGAATTCTGAGATTAAAGTCAGAATTTTGAGATTAAAGACAGAATTCTGAGATTAAAGTCAGAATTTTGAGAAAAAAAAGTCCGAATTCTGAGAATGAAGTCAGAATTCGGACTTTTTTCCAATATCAAAGGAATATGATATTTAAAATACATGTTAACTTCTTTTTTCATTGGCCATTATCCTCTTCCGTAACATCGCCCAGTTCTAACTTCAAAATAAACTAAAACTTTTGTTTTGAGGTAATAAAGTGCATTTTTTGGCGAGCTGCTAAGCCCAAACTAGCAATATAAATTAAATAACGCGTAATTTTTTTTTTTTTATGTATTGTTTGTAGCTGTCAGTATCCCACTGTGAGCACATTGACACAGCAGTATTTGGGGAGGCGCTGCCGACCCGCTGCTCCCAGAGATGGCAGTAGAGCCGTAACTGACTGCGGGGCCTGTGCGGTGACCAGCGGCCCTGACGTTACTGAACCACGGACTGCAGTAAAGCAGCGCAGAGCCGGGAAAAAAAGGTAAAACACACGGGTCCTTCAGGCCCTCTAAGGCATTTCAAATAACTCTTTTTCCACCGTTAAACATGTTTTATAGCAGTATGTCGACCCCGGCTGCATCTGGAGAACCGTTAACTTGGCTAAGTTTGCAAGGCTAGCATGCTAATAGCTACTGTCGTTCCAACATTAACTGCTAGATAACACCAAACGTGCCGAATTATCACTTAATAACCTATCATAATAATATACCCAGGGATTAAAAACTTGAATTATCCGTCTAATCATCCGTCATTAAAGAAGTGATAAAACCAATAAAGGCTGTGAATGAGGCTACTTTCTAGTAGCAGGAGCTAGCTAACAGACTTTAGCTTTCAGAGCAGATTATTTGCACTACATCGCGATAGATTAATAATCCCAAACAACCAGATATATTATTCCTATGTGATATGTACTGGAATTACACTTTGTTGGAGGAATTGTGGTTAAAACCTGGAAGATAAGATATACCTGTTAGTAAATGTGAGAAAAACATGTTCTGTGAAGTTTATCAGTTTAACCAGATTACTGTTTGCTGCTATGGTCTGTTTTTCCACACTGGGCTCTATCGTTATAAAGTAGGATTATTTACGCTTTGATCGTATATTAATCTTCACCCCAGATGTTTAATTTGTGAACTCTGTGTTGCTTCTAAACGTCTAAAGCTGCGAAGATTTGTTTGTGATTTGTGTTTACCTACAGATCCCATTACTTCAGACAAGTAAACACCTGCCTCACCAGCAGAGTTTTAACTATACGCTTCATTTTAGAGCCTTGCTTTTTTTTAAACACAAACAGAAATGATTCTCAGAATCTTATTCTGCAAAGTTCTGACCTGCATGTGTCAGTTTCAGCTCATTCTCTAAACCTACCTTTATTTTTGACAACTGAACAGTTCCTTGGTAAAACACAGATCTCTTAAAAACAGCCTGAAGTTACAGAGCTGTTTGCTGTAAAACTGAAAATCAAGTTATTATATAATTATATTCTCCAGGTTATAGAGCAGAAGTAAAAAAAATTAAGTCCCTCGAGTAAGATCCACCTTTTTGTTACCTTCTTTCATACACTTGAAAGTTTACAGTGGACTACATTGCATGTGTTTACAAAACTTTATCCATCATTATCCAACATGTTAAAAGATGCAGTAGGAGATATTTTCTGACGTATTTTTTTTTTACCATGTGGCATGAAAATCTCCCCACAGCCCCGTAGCAAGCAGTTAAATAGAAGGTCTCGAATGAAATGAAAGAAAATGGTCCCCGCTACAGTGAGAAATCAATTAATAACCTCAAACAATCACAAAACACGGTCTGTGGTCCACGATTGGTTCCTGACACGTCAATCATGGTTGTCTGCTTGTCCCTCCCCCCTGTGCACGTACCCTGCATGAACGAATCGACCCCCCGATGCTCGTGCAGGACGCCATGGCTCGAAGCTAGCCACTATTATGCTACATTCAAACCTAGAGCAGCAAAAATGTTTATGCTGCTTTATTTTTGATGCTTGTATAAGTTTGGTACTGATGCACGGCTGAAGCATCTTTGCTGCTCCGGCTGCGTGGTGGAAAAAGTGGGCCTGATGCGCGTTGAGTGAAGCTACCCTATCCTTTCTTTGCCGGTACTAATGGCAGCTATATTTGCTGTGATCAGTGGGTAAGAAATTAATTTGAATCTATTTTGAAGTGAGAAAGTCCACCTGAAAACATTGTCGGTGCAGTCAGTTCATCCAGATTACCATCCTGCCTTCAAATAATATTTCTGTCGGAGCCACTCAGACCCCCACATACCAGCGGTGCGTTATCACTAGGAATCCCGTTTAACAGCAGCCTCTGGCCCGGTTGCCTCCTCGTGGTTTGCCGCAGCGGCTGTAATCCAAACTGCGATGGCCAGGGTAATAAAAGCAAACATGTTTTGCCGGCAGATTTTGGCATTTTAAGTCAATTTAGGTGTTAAACTGTTTCAGAGGAGTGATCATAGCGCTCTGCTTCATCATTGCTGTCTGTCTTCCTGCTCCTGCTGCTCTAGACGCGCTGCGGGACCTTTTGCCTTGCCGTGATGCGTGTCAACCATTGCCATTGCATGTAAACTAGCTGCTTTTGCTGCATCTGCTGCTTTAGGTGTGAACGTAGCATTATGTTGTTGTTAGCTCGTGTCACAAGCACTCGGTCTCGGCTTGTTTCGTTCTCGATCTTGGAAACATCTGAACACCCTGACAGACACGTTCGTGTGTTTTGAAGTCGTGGTTTCGAGGGGTGGTCTGAAGGAAGAGGCATGGTTGTGTATTTTCAAAAAGTAAAGCTTGCTGGAACTGTTTTTCCAAGATCTCCTACAGCACCTTTAAGAAGAATCCGCTCTGATATACTGTTAAGTTTAATAGGTCACCAGGTAATTAAGCAGCAATTCTGAAATGTCAATCACTTTTGGGGGGCAAAATCATTGTTGTTTGTGGGAGAAAACTGTTGTTGCACATCTTTGCCGTTAGACAGGTTTTCAGTGTTATTTCAAAACAAAGACATTTGAGTTGATATTTCAATCAACCTTTAGTATTTTATACCATCTTGGTTACTAGTAAACGTCCCTTCATTGGCAAATTTCCAGGAGATAATAAGGACTCCCCTATCCTTCATGCACTGTGATTGGAAGGATTGGAAAAAACTTTGCTGTTATTTGTTTGGCTTCCTGTTTTCTCATGAGATCTTACTTTTCTGTTGTGGCCTCCTGAAGTCACTTTGTGGAAAACGCTGTTTCCTTTTTCTAACTTCAATTTAAACTACCCACTCATACTGAAAACCACTGAGTTGATTTCTGAAAGTACTGTCTTCCACACATAGGAGTGTTACCATTGGTGTTACCTGGCTGCGCTCTTTTAATAGGTTGATGATTGATCAGGGCGGGTAAAGGATGTCGTTGAATCGTGTTCGCCTATCTGCCAACTTCTCTTTGCATTTGTTTTACAATCCATCGAACGCATAAACCAGTTGCCGGTCTATCGCAGGGTACAACAGAGATGCACAGGAAAAACAAATACACTTTAAAAGACCATTTACATAGACCAGTTAACCTAGCAGTCAGGTTTTACTTTATGTTTTATTTTTTGGACTCTTGCAGGAAGCTTGAGTATCTCTAGGAATACAACAAACAAATGTTCAGATGGGGCTGCAACTAATGATCATTTTGTTAAGCGACTGATATGTATATTATTTGTTCAATTAATCGATTAACAATTGACTATTTATTATTATTTTGATACACATATTTTTTTTTATCTTAAATGCAAATTGTTAATTATTCTTTTTCAATTTTGGTATAATTACTGTTTTAAGTTGGCCACTCTGTCAGCTATAGGCATAATTTAGAGTCTATACTCTAGCTAATGATTAATCCATCACTAAATTAGTTGACGATTAGTTCAAAAATAAATAAATCTGATTAATTCTTGTCAGCCCCATATTTAGACTATTTATGAAATCATTAGATTTGTCTAAAAGTGGCATTATGGAGTTAAACGCAGGCATCAAATAAGAGATTACATTTGCCATTTTATTGATCAGCTCTGTTAGGCTTAATAATTGTAATCTACTTCTCTGTGTGTGTCTTCTGCGGTTTTCTACAGCATTCTGTTCTGCTGTTTGTTTTGGATTGTGGATTTCTGTTTTGCTGTCTTTTTGCCATGAAGCCTGGCCTGGCAGCTTGGGTTGTCATTAACCGGATGTGTCGCTGGCAACATTGGGAAGGAACTGCTCCCAGAACAATAGGGGGTTTTCAGGTGACGTCACACTCACGTGACTACTCAGCGCGTCCGCCATATTGGGTGGCAGCCTTAGGCAGTATTGACAGTGAAAAATGATGAAAACATGTTTAATTGTTGGTTGCACGGCCCGTGGAGGTGGAGATCAACGCTCTTTCTATCGCATACCAGCCGTAATCGTGAATCAATGTGAAAAAACAAAACAGCTATCTGAACAACGCCGTCACCTATGGCTGACACGGATATCCAGGTCCGATTTGGACGGTGTGAAGCTGGAATACGCCAGAGTCTGCAGTGCTCACTTTGTCACAGGTAATTAACTGTCAAGCATTTAAAACATGTAAGAATATATTAATAATAGGGCTTGGGCATCATGACGTATTACTTTCCGTGGCCGCAATGTTGACTGCCTCCGCCGCCGCTACTCAGACTACTGCCTATGACTACCGCGTACTGGACTCCCTCTCTCAGCCGTGTTTTAATTTGATTAATTTCACCTTAACTTGATTTCAACCAGCGGGAAAAGGCTCAAATATGTGAAAAACCCGGAGGGTTTAGGGAGGTTTGGCAGTTAACGTTACTAACCAAACCTTTGAAACACATAGCAGCTAGTTAAAAGTACATTACATGCCTGAGTGGTTGTTAGCACTAACGGTTAGCACTATTTGCTGGCTTTATGAGCTGCAGCTCCTGAACCCATCCATTTGTAAACTGCACATGAGACTCCAAGGACTTGTAGCTTTGGAACTGTTCGCGCACCGCCGGCCGTTAGCCACCTAGCATAGCGAGCCCTGCGTCGGATTGTTTACATTTTTACCATCTTATTAAAACTCACCCGTCCACGTATGATGGCGATTTCCTTCATGTACATCACTTCGACATCTCATACCCAACCAGATGTGAACTGGTTGTGAGCCTCTAGACCCTTGTACGCTCTCATTTCCTCAAGAGTGTTCAGAGGGTTTCCACTGAACACCAGGTAATGAACTATGTCACCGTGCTCTACATTTGGCCAATCATCTGGATTAGTGCTAAACAAGGCACCGTGGAGGGCATAGGGGTCCATATGGTCGATCACGGAACATTTCCTCAGATATGTTCCATGATCTGGTGGCTCTAGCGTGCTGGTGTACTTATCCATTCGTGACATGATATATATGATAAACGATAATATGCCACCCAAGATGGCGGACCGGAAGCTGGCCAGTGACGTCACTGAAAACCCCCTATTGTCTTTT